CATGCAGTGAGATGCTTGTTACTTCTTTTCACAGAGTTGGGTCGTCTCCAAAATCTTGGATTGCCTTTGATTCTGGGAGGGGTCTGCTTCATATACCTCGGTTGGTCCACCAGGAAGCTCAAAGAATTTCCATATCCAACTCCGACATGCGCACTTGAAGGCGTTGAGGCGGCAACTTTTTTGTTTTAAATATAATTTAAATACATCTCCCCTAAGTTCCTTTGCAGATGGTCATTCTCATCCTTGCTTTTGACCACCATTCTCGATGTATTCCTCCATTGTTCTGCCCCTAACAATGGTTCAAACATCTTGGTGAACCATCGTTGAATGTTGCCCCTGCGTCTTCAGCCAAAGGGCATGACCATGTAATAGTATAGCCTCTTGGAGTTGGTAAAAGAATGTAACCTTCCTGGTCTGGCTTAGCATGGGCATTTGGTGGTAGCCTCTGTATGCCATCCAGAAAGCTAAGTCGGTTTGTGCCCCGCCGTTTAGTCCACCAGTTGATCTATCCGTTGGTAGAGGAAGCTGTCTTTGGGCATGCCTTGTGACCTGTTTTGTAGCGACGCAGACACGCCATTTGCCATTCTTCTTTTGGACTACGACCGTGTTGGAGATACCAATCTTGGTAGTGCACTTCTCTAATTGCTCCTGCCTCCAGCAGGTTACCCTATTTTCTTTCCGCCACTATTTCGCATGGTGAAGTGCCGATCGCGAGTGCGTTTGAATAACCGGCCTGGCGGATGGTGTGGACATTTTGAGTTTGGTGACTTGATTGAATTTGGATCAATGCCTGGCATGTCGTAGGGTGTTCCAGTGCAAAAACACTTCGATGTTAGAGGTCAAGGAATTCCAAGCACCTCTAATTCTCTCAGTGTGGACCAACGATGAGCCGGAGCAACAGAAAACTTATCCGAGTTCTTTTCATCTATTTTTTACCTCCACCAAGTCCTCCCACCGCTTTCTAATCAGCCTGCTTTGCCGACATCTGTGAATAGCTCATTGCTCTCAGGTTCTTCCACTGAATGAACGTATCCTTTGGCAGCGCGGCTGCCATTTACCGTGGCGAAACATTGCTTTGACATGATCTGATCTCCATAGACTTTTTCAATTATTCCGGTGTCGTTGGGAAACCGCATTACTTGGTGGTAAGATGATGCCACCGATCGCATGGCATGCAGCCATGTCCTGCCCAGGATGATGTTGTAAGTGGAGGGGACCTTCAATACCCAGAACTCCACTTGTTTTGTTACGCTTCCTGCTCTGACTAGAAGAATTATTTTTCCGACCGGCCATTCTGGCATGGAGTTGAATCCAATTAGGGGAGATACGGCAGGTGCCAAGTCTTTGTCCTGCAGTTTTAATTGTTTAAATGTTTCGTAGTACATGATTTCACATGAACTACCCTGGTCAATCAGAATCTGCTTGACGTCAAAATCCTTGACTCGGAGAGTGACGACTAGGGCATCATTGTGAGGACAGTATATTCGATCCAAGTCTTTATCCGAAAAAGACATGACGTTTGTTGCCTCTGTTTTCCCCTTCTTGATGGCAGGTTGGGCACTTAGCACCTCTCTAAAGTGCTCAGCCTTTTTGATTGATCCCCTGAGCTCGCATACACGCTCAGGTTCAAAGACTCCATGTATCACATTGATAATGCCTTGAGGTGGGGCGTCGATTGGCTTTCCGTTGGGGTTATTGTGATCTTGGGGGGCTGGCTGCGTCCCTCCTTCAATGTATTTGTCCAAGTGACCTGCCGCCACCAACTCCTCCAGGTGCTGTCTCAATGGTGTGCAATTCTCAGTTCGGTGCCCCTTTTCTTTGTGGAAGGTGCACCGCGATCTTTCGTCATAGTCCTTCTGAGCTTCTCCTAGTTTGGCTGGCCACTTGACGAAAGGCTCATCTCTTATTTCGCTAAGAATCCGATATATCGGTTTCTTGAATACTGTGGTTATGGCAGTGCCGATTCTTAGCCATCTTTTATCCGGGTCTTCTCCGTTATCTCGTCTGCCACGTCCGTTTCTGTTCTGACGATCCACTATATTGACCTTTGCTGAGGTTTTCTTTTCTGGTACTGCGGTCGCACAAGATTTTGCTTTGGCACGTGCGCCATCCTCTTCTACCCTGATGTGCTGATGCACTTTTTCCATCAAGGCTTCCATAGTGAGGGGTGGCGTCATGGTGATCGAGTCCCTTAGTTTGTTCCCGACTGGAAGGCCTCTTTTATACTGTGCGATGGCGAGATTGGTGGGGCAGTCCCCAATCTGATTGAATGTCTCCCAGTAGCGACTATTGTACGATCTGAGGGTCTCTTTATCGCCCATGTCGATGGAGAGCAGTTGGTCGATTTCCACCAGGGTTTTAGTGTTTGTTCGGAACCTTGTTACAAAGGCCTCTGCTAATTGCGCCCAAGAGGCTATGCTACCCTCAGGAAGTTTCTCGAACCAAGTCAAGCCTAGGTCGCCAAGGCTTGATGGGAAGAGTATGCACATCAAGGCCTCGTTTCGCCTGTATACAGCCATGACTTGGCGAAAGTGGCTCAAGTGTGAGTAGGGATCCATCTTCCCTTCATATGTAGTGAATTTTGGTTGAAGGAAGCCTGATGGTAGGGACGCGTTTTCAATCGCCGGAACAAACGGTGAAGTCTGTAGCCTTGCTAATGCCTTGTCCGTTGGTTCGTAGGCAGGGCGCGGTATTGGCATTCCAACCTCGACGCTTCCATGCGTCCGAGGAGCCAACCGCTGTAAGGTAGAAACTCTGTGCGGATCCCGCGCCCTGGCATCCTCCTTGCATCGTGCTTTCTCTTCGAGCACGGTTCGTAAGTCGGATGATCTGGGTAATTCCGTCTGTCTAGATCTGGTTTGGTGTGAATGCGAGGGCCAATACGTGCTTCCTTCAGTGTATGATCTTTCAGATCTCGTCCTCTCAGACCTGGAGTGACGAGTTCTGGAAGACCAGGATTGAGTGTCGCCTGTCCTGAGGCTTCTGCTCTCTCCTTGCGAGGGTGTAGTATTCCTACTACGATTTTCTGAGTGACGAGGGGGCGTCTTGTTTTTGCGCCCCTCTCCTATCACCACTTCTTTTTTCTTCATCTGGCGTTTCAAGGCCTCCATGTCCGCCGCCATCTTTCTTATCAATTCATCTTGCTCTTTTACGCGATCTTCCAGAGCTTGAGGGTCAATCCTCTGCCTTTGTCTGTCAGGACTTTGAGAACGAGAGTGACGGGGGCTGTTAGTTCGCCTTCCCCTAGTATCCCTCCTGGTGTTATGTCGTTGGGGCTCCAAGTCCGCCATGGGAGGGACAGAGGGTAATCCTTCACGCCTTGCGCCCCCATCTGGAGTTAGCCCGTCGACGGCGGACTGTGGCAATTCTTCAATGTGTGCCATTGATCGTAAAGGGGAGAAGCTATAATCAAGAGGTTTTGTTCTGTCTGTTATTCCCACAGACGGCGCCAATTGTACGGGAAAGGAATAATTCTCCTCGTATAATCCTGTTGACTATGTCCACGCTCCTCCGTACGACGTTGCTTTGTCACCTGAAAACACAAACGTGAGCTAGCCGGCGGGTGTGTGCCGGAAACCTCTCCGATGCCTAAGTCAGCAAACTTGACAAAAAGACAAAGCTCAATGTATTCAGAAAACAAAATTGTATGTTGTGTTTTTGTGTTACCTCCTCCAAGGTGATGTTTGTGAGCTTTTATAGGTTTTGAGTGGCACAATCCTAGTAGGACTTTTATTCCTCCATGCAGAGTCCTCCTAGGATTTATACTCCTAAAGGATAATGCTTATCCTTTTACACCCTCCCCCACTGCTTAAACCAAGTGGGAAGGTTTCTACCATGGCCGAATTACCATTTGACCGAAGTAAAACTGGCTATGTTGAGCCACAGAGTAGGCCGAACTATCCTTAGTTCGATTCTTCCGTTAATCTTTCCTATCTCGGCTTTCCATGTAGAACTCATGGTACGGTTTAGACCGAACCAACGATTCGCGACCGGTATAACTCCAAGACCGGTGCAAACTTGACAAAAAGACAAAGCTCAATGTATTCAGAAAACAAAATTGTATGTTGTGTTTTTGTGTTACCTCCTCCAAGGTGATGTTTGTGAGCTTTTATAGGTTTTGAGTGGCACAATCCTAGTAGGACTTTTATTCCTCCATGCAGAGTCCTCCTAGGATTTATACTCCTAAAGGATAATGCTTATCCTTTTACACCCTCCCCCACTGCTTAAACCAAGTGGGAAGGTTTCTACCATGGCCGAATTACCATTTGACCGAAGTAAAACTGGCTATGTTGAGCCACAGAGTAGGCCGAACTATCCTTAGTTCGGTTCTTCCGTTAATCTTTCCTATCTCGGCTTTCCATGTAGAACTCATGGTACGGTTTAGACCGAACCAACGATTCGCGACCGGTATAACTCCAAGACTGGTCTAACTTCAAGTTGCTTCCGGACCGAAGTAGTTTTACAATTCCTCAGCCGAAGTAACTTCATCTCTTTCGGCCGGAGTAACTTTATCTTTCTTGGGCCGGTACTTTGGGCCATTAAGTCCACTTCATAGCTCGGCCCAATTTTTACCAAAATTACCCTCTCACCAATGAAGTACAAAAACCAATAATAATTTTATTTTTATGGCAATAAAAATGGCACATGTTGTATGTCTTTCTCTTAGGAAAACTAAACCAGTGATTTAAATATATTAGCAATATAAATGATGAGGGAATCCCCTCTTTTGGTCCAGTGAAATTTTGTGGCATGAATGGATTTTGGAGAATGAACATTGAGTTGCAATATGTTCTATGCTTATTAAGAAATTTTGTACCAGCACTTTCAGAAGATGCTGTCAAGTGATAGCGCTGTGATTGTTGAGACTGGGGACTCTTGGTTTAATTGCCATAAACTAAAGTTGCCTGAGGGATGCGAGTAAGTTGTGGAGAGAATGTTGCATTTTTTTTTGGTTTTATTATGCTTTATGATACAAAAAATAATATGAAATTGGGGTTTGCATGTATGAGTTCCAGATGCAATATGGATCAATTGGCTGGGTTGTAGGTGTGACTCTTGGATATGCACAGGCTGCACGGAATAAGCGAGTGATTGCTTCCATTGGTGATGGTAGCTTCCAGGTAATTATGCATACATTTCAATCTTCATTGTATATAATATAGTTTTGATTTTTGTAAATTCTCCTAATCTTATGAATATTGTATTGGATATACTTCCTACGTTGATGTTTGTATATCTTCATCTTATGTCACCTAGCATGCACAATATGAAGGATTATAAACTTAAGGGATTACAGTAATGGGATTCACTGCTCTGAATTTGTCCTTGTTAACACCTATTTTGGTGAATGCTTGGCAGGTGACCGCACAAGCTGTGTCAACAATGCTGAGATGTGAACAGAGGACCATCATCTTCCGTATAGAACCCGAGAATTTTTGTTTCTTAGTGGATGCTTTCATAGTACTTGTATGTATAATTAGTTTGAATTGCATTTTTTGTGCCGATTTGTTTTGTAATAATTTTTAACTTACCACTAGGCACTAGTTTAACTTTATTTCATCTTGGAATTGAAATATTTTTGCATATTGAGGAGTATGAATTGATCTAGTATTATGTTTACCTAAATTTAGTCAATATATTGTATATTTTTCATCTTTATAAAAGGTATTTTTTTAGTTAAATCTTACAGAATTAGCACAATTTTTTTTTTTTATAAAAAAAAATGAAGCTATAGCATCGTTTTTAAATGCCACTATAGAATACCAACAGTTATATTTTTTAAATAGAAAAGATCTATCATGGCGTTTTTAAAATGTCGCTAAGTGTAGAGTGACGTCATTGTATCATTATGCAGCACATTTAGCGGTGTTTTTAAAAACGCCGCCCACACTGAAATAGCGACGCTTTTAAAGCGTTATGAAGTTACAGCGACGGCCGCATCTTCGGCGTTTGGTACTAAACGTCGCAAAAATAATTGGCGGCGTTTTTGATACCTATGGCGGCGTTTTTTAAACGCCACTAAAAGTTCAATTTCCAACAGTGTAATACGGTCTTTGTTTGACATTTCTTTAGATAAGTGAATTTTTTGTGTTATTACCAAAATTTAGACCCTCAATTCACACTACACATTTATGTACAAAGCGGAGGTGAGTTGTTGTGCCCGATTCTGTCCCTGAGAACACCCACAGTTATGAGGTCCTTGGACTATTCAATAGTATTTGTACTAAATCAAAAATTGGAAATGAAGGCTTTCAAAACCAGTCACATTACTTTAATTGTTTAATTAACAGATGAATCCTTCTAAATGAATCGCCACCTGTCACCTTAAATTACTATTCATGCTCATGTATCTGGGTCTTTGAATCTAGGGCGTGACAAAACCTTTGCCTTTCATCAACAAATAGTCTAGCTTTTTGCTATTAAAAAAAATAATAATAAGATAAAAATATTTCCAACTAGTGCTATCAAAAGCCTTCTTGAAATTGATTTTGAAGATGAACCCCTTGATCTCATCCTATTCTATTAAGTAATTAGATGCATTCTTTCAAGAAAATTTAGCTCAGCAAGCAATTATCTTAGTTTCCACTTGGTAAGAAAAGTATTTTTTGTAACACAATTGGTAAATACTATTATTATATAATCTAATTAAACATAATTTTAATGCATATTTTGTTTTAATATGACAAGTTTCAATAACATGATGAGAGTTGACTCTTAATTGATTAATTTTTTTGGAAGAATCACGCTATTGCGCATAAATTTAGAAGAAATAATTTAAAAGTCATAAACATATTCTTTATATTTTTTTGGTTTTTGTTTCTTGGTATTATACTATATTAGACTTTTCAAATCACTTATGTAATGCTATTTTACTTAAAAGATTGGGTTTATCCCATGTTGAAATCTCAACAATATTTTAAAAATCATATTGGTGAGCTAATTGAAGGACCGGTGAGTGAACCGGAAAAAGGATCGGGCAGACGGGTCACCGGTTCAACAGTCAGGTTGAATTGGAATCGAACCATGACGTCATAAATATATTAAAATTATATTTAAATATAAGTAATAAAATTATAATTAATTTAAAAAATAAAAACATGAAATTATCTTAAATATTTCTCCTAATATTTTTTATAAAAAATACAATAATATATTTTAAAATATTATTAATTTTAATTTTGGAAGAGGAAACCAAATATTCAATATTTCCTCCATATGATTTTAATTCAAATAATTTGATTGAAAGAAGAACAAAAATTTTGGAAGATATCAAAATTTCAAATCTCCCTCCAATAAATTTGATTGAATCACACATAGATTTCTTTAATTTTTTTGGAAGAATTGTTTTCTTATGAATAGGTAGAGACTTTGACAATAATTTCAAACTCTCAATGAGATTCTTCACAAGAAGAGACACTTGAAAAAGAATTTCTAATTAAAATTTTCTTATATATATAATATGAAAGATAAAAAAGAAAAGAAAGAAAGAATAAAAAAATTAGTTAGAAAGTATTAAAAAAATTCAATATATTTAATTTCATAAACCTAGTCGGTTTGCCGGACCCGTTCCCGGGTCACCCGGTTCGGCGGTCCAACCGCCGATTTTTTTGGCTCTCTCTAAATAGGCCGGTTTTTTACTTGGAACTGCTTAGAGGGCATGGACCAGAACCTCGATCGGTCGATGGTTTAACCGATCGAACCGACCGATCCAGTCCGATTTTTAAAACCACGAATTTCAACATAAGAGAATTTGAGGGACTTATAGGGCCCACCACAAGTCTCGTTTAAATAATCCAAACCGTTCATTTTGTAGGACCCTCAATGTATAATATCCATGAAAAAATTTAGGTCAATCCAATAATCGTAACTTTTTCATTTTATTGCATTTGTTTGTTAAAAAAATAAACGGTCTATTTCAAATATATGTTTATCATCTATTTTTCAAAGACGAATATAATAAAATAAAAAATTATGATTATTAAATCAAATTAATTTTTTTCATGAATATTATACAATAAGCACTTTACAAAATAAATAATTCAAATTATCAAAATACAACTTATGATGAGTCCTATAACCCTCTCAAATTCTCTCCTATTGAGATCGTTAACATGAAATATCCACACCCGTAGGCAAATGCAACTTCTTTGGTGCATGTTGTTCCTCCTTTTGATTATCTAAGCTTGCAGCCATGCATCAAAAACCTGAAAAGTTGCCAACAGAGTTATAACAGCCTCGTTTCGCTTGTCGATATTTTAATTTAAAAGCAAAAAATTTATTAACAAAATTAAAATGTGAAAAAAAAATTCAATTTATATAAAAAGTCAAAAACTTCTTTTAATTCACTTTACTTTTTTTGTATATTTTTTCCGTAAACAATTAAAATGTCATTCTCAAACATTTTTTTCACCACATATTGTAGTCAAATATTAAAAAAATACTAAAAACACTACTTTCCAAACGATCCCAATACTCAAAAAATAGAATATATATGATCCAAATTTAAATTAAATATTGATTTAACTCTCATAAAATATTTGAACAACACATTTTATTTTATATGCCTTTTTTTATGTATATTTTCAGTATTCCAAGCTTTACTATTTAAAAACATGACAACATGTAGGAAAAATTACACATCAGTAGGATTTTTCAAAATATTTACAGATTAATGAAAAAAATTATAAATTTAATTAATAATATTTATCAAGTTTATCATCACAACTTTACCTTCTCCACCCTAAAGCCCAAAATTTTAAAATCTGACTTTAAATCTTTTTATAATCTGAAGGTCGACGTTGAATAACACGTTTGTTTCATGCTAAACAACCACCTCTACTTTAATGTTATATCTTGACCATCAGATGTGGGATTTTCAAATTCCAAGTTGAACGCTGTAGAACAGTGGAGTTTTGGATGGGTGCAATAGCAACTTAGATTTGGTATTTTTTTAATTTTCTTAATTTTTAGTTTATTGATATAATAATCATTCCTGTATGGTGACTTATTTCCCTCTTTTGTGGGAGCCTTTTCTCCTCCTCTATGGAGGTTGGGATCATTTATTCTATAGAAGTTGTTTATCTATTTTTGAGATTTTGTGATACCGTTATTATTCCTCATTCATCCCAGTTGTTACTAATTTTACAATAAAAATTTTCTTCCCTATCTAAAAAAAAATTATCATTCATTTAAAATGATAAATTTTTTTTAAAAAATAGAGTTGTAATTCTCCAAAAATAATCCTCAAAAGTAATTAATGTCATCCCCTTATTTTTTTTTCATCCTTCGCTGCAATAGAGATTATTAGGTTAGATGAACCTTCACAACGAAAAAGTGTAGGTCCATGTGCGCTTTTAATAATGCATGTTGCCATTAGTTTCCCTGTAACTCTGATTGAAGGGTGAGAATTGCCTATGCAACAACTCTCTCCGTCTCTGTCTCTCTTTAAATCAAGCCAAATCAAGCCAAATCTAATTTTCAATTCCATCAAATAATATCGATTGCATGAATTTTTATCTCCACTCAACCCTATTAAGGCCATTTTGTTAGTTAAATTTAAAAAATTCATATTTTTATTTATTACACTAGTTTACGTCAATCTAAGTCTACTTATTCCCCTAATACTACCATCTACTATCACTGTATCGCATATTTTCAGTATTGCCACTTTTAGTCTCCATTGTATATGACTAAACTATGTCAATGTATTCATTCCGAACTTTGCCTTTTCTAATCTTGCCACACATCAAACTTAGCATTCTCATCTTAGCAACACTCATTTTATCTACATGTTTCTTAGTTGCCCAACATTTCATCACATACATTATCGCTGGTCTAATAGCCGTTCTATGGAACTTCCCTTTTAATCTAATGGGCACTCATTTTTTGTATAGTACTTCAGACGCACTCCTCCACTTAAGCCACACCGTCTTAATTCTATAGATCACATCCACTCCAATCTCCCCAATCGTTGTGATAATCAATCCTAAATAACGAAAATGTTTACTCTTAGATAGTTCTTGGTTCTCAATCTTCACTTTTTCTCTGCTTTCATTGTGACTGTTACTAAAATTACACTCCATATACTCTATCTTAGTTCTACTTATCCTAAATCCTTTAGATTTAAGTGCTTCTCTCCAAATCTCCAACTTAGTGTTAACTCCTTCTCTAGTCTCATACACTAACACGATATCATCTGCAAAAAGATACACCATAGCACATCATCATGAATATTGCACGTCAACTCATCCATAACTAAAGCAAAAAGATAAGGACTTAAAGTTGATCCTTGGTATAACCCTACAATAATTGAAAATTCACTCGTCTTTCCAGCAGGTAATCTAATAATGATCACCATACCTTGATACATATCCCTAATCACATCAATGTAACCTTTAGTCACCCTTTTTTTCTCTAACACCCACCAAATTATATCTCGAGGCACTCTGTCATATGCTTTCTCAAGATCGATAAAAATCATATGAATGTCTCTTTTTTTTTTCTCTGTATACTTTCCTATTACTCTCCTTAAAAGATAGATCACTTCCATTGTTGACCTACCAGGCATAAATTCAAATTAATTCTCTGGCACCTCTGTTATATCTTGCAATTGACGTTCCATCACTCTCTCTCACACTTTCATTGTGTTACACATTAACTTAATTCCTCTATAGTTGTTGCAATTTTGGACATCTCCTTTATTCTTATATATTGGCACTAAAAGACTCTTCCTTCACTCCTCTGGCATTTTTCTACTCGACAAAATCTTGCTAAATAACCTAGTCAACCAAACAACCCCCTTCTTACCCAAGCATTTACACGCTTCAATAGGTATATCATCAGGTCCTAAAGCCTTATTCGATTTCATCTTCTTAAGTGCAAATTTCACTTCAAAGTTCTTAATCCTACGATAGAACCTATAATCCTGGTTTTCCTTATTACTGCCTACTTCCTCTCATTTTGACCTACCTCCATTTTTCACATTTAACAACTTAGTTCTTCCATCTCTCCTTAATCTCTTCATCCTTCACCAACATCTTAGAGTCCTCACCCTTGATGCACTTAACCTGATTAAAATCTCTTGTTTTTATCTCTCTTATCTTAACAAGTTTGTATACCGTCTTCTCTCCCTCCTTGCTATCTAGTCTAGTGAATAGGTTTCAACTTAGTCTCTCTCACTACTTTTTTGACCCCCTTATTGGCCAATCTATAGCGTTTAAGGTTTTTTTCAGTTCTATCAATCTGACACTTTTTAAAGCTCCCTTTTTCTGTCTTTATTACCACGTGGACCTTCTCCCTCCAGCACTAAGTTTTCCTAAAGTTGGGTTCCTTTCTTTTCGACTCTCGAAGAACTTCCTATGAGATTCTCCTCATACAATTGACCATTAAGTTTCACATAGTGTTAGCATCATCTTCCAAGTCCCAAGTGCCTTTTTTATTTATTCTATTATTAAATGTGTCTAATTCATCCCCTTTTAGGTCTCACTATCTAGTCCTGCGATGTTCACTATCTTTCCGAGCTTGGTATTACTCTTTAAAGCATAAATCCAGTATCAAAACCCTACGTTAAGACGTTAGGCTCTCTCCAGGAATCACCAGTCCCCTTTTTTCACCAGAAAGTAATCTATTCGGCGCCTCATTGACCTACTCTTGAAGGTTATCAAATGCCCATCTCTCTTCTTATACAAAGTAGTGGCAACCACTGCGTTAGAAGCCAACACAAAATCTAAAACACTCTCTCCATCCTCATTTCTATCACCAAAACCATACTCACCATGCACCCTCTCATGACCTAGTTTATCTACTCCTACATGGCCATTAAAATCACTAGCTATAAATAGGTTTTCTCTTACAGATATCTCTTGTAATACCTCATCTATTTGGTCCTAAAAAAATCTCTTAGTCTGATCATCTAATCCTACTTGGGAGGCGTATGCACTAATAACGTCCATTATATTCTCTTCAATAACTAGTATAACTAACATTATCATGTCACCTTTCCTAATGACCGTAACTACATTTTCTACAAGACCCTTGGCAACTATTATTCCTACCATATTCCTATGTCTATCATTGCCACTATAATATAGTTTAAAACTGGTATCCTCTATTTCCCGAGCTTTCTCACCCGTCCACTTAGTTTCTTGTACGCAAGCTATACTAACTCTCCTCCTAATCATGACATCTACCAACTCCATAGTCTTACCAGTAAAAGTTTCCATATTCCATGTGGCTATCCAAAACCTATAATCTTCGACTAGCTTCTTTATTCGCACTCGTCCAGAAAAATGCAGAAATCTTTGCCCATTTTTCACCGCAACCAAGCATTGATGTGGCATCCCTTGCTCACTTTTTGAAACACTCGGAGGCAAGCGCAACGCATCACTTAAGGGGAACGACCTAGAATATAATCGATTCAGAGTATTAGGTTTCATGTCATAAAAGATCTAAGCAGTTTTTTTACGTGTTAGCTGTCAGCTACCTAACACATAACCCTCCTCCTTTACCTAGGTTTAGGACTGGCAGAGTTGTTAACCAACCCCGACGGGTTCTGTCTGTCTCTCTTTGTATACATATATTTATATATTAAAAAAGAAAAAAATAGTATGAAATTTAAGGGTATGTTTGGTTTGGTTTTGGGAGAGTAGTTTTTAAAAATTGATTTGGGGAGAGAGTTTAGAAATTTTTTTGGTTTGTTTGGTTGTGTATTTTGAAAATAATTTTGGAGTTTGGGAGCTTGGGATGATTTGATATTTTGTTGTAATTGACTAGATGTGTGTGAGAGAAAAAGTGATTGATTGATGTGTAAGAGAGAGAAAGTGATTTTGAAATTTTTTTGAGAAAAATCTTAAACCAAACAATTTTTTGAAATTTTTTTTCTAAAACTCATCTCTCAAAGCTAAACCAAACATATCCTAAAACTTTAAGGGAGGCAGGCATACTCATAAGTGTGAAACTAAGTATAGTTTTTTCAAATCTTAAGAGATAGGAGTGTAATTTGTTCAATAAGTAATGGACATGAGCTTGAACAATGAGGGCATTGGTTGCTTAATAAAACACTAATTAAGAGTTTGGAAGTAAAAATTTAGAAATAAATAAGGTTCGCAGATGAAATATTTAAGTTTCTAAAAGTGTTATTATTATATTTTTAGCGACGAAATTAGATATTTAATAATGAATTTTTAGCTTTTTAGAATAAAAGTTTTATCTGAAAACATTTTGACACTAAATTGTTTCGTTCCTAAATGCGTATTTATTAGTTATATTTTCAAAATGTTGCCATTATTTTTATTTTATTTTTAACTTTTTGGGTTGGATTTTTCGTGATGACGTCTCTTAATATTTTCTGAAACAAAATTTTTATTTTTTGAAATGAAACACTATGGTCCCTATCACCTATATATGTTGTATGATTTTTTTTTAATGTTGAAGTTGATAATTAAAATGTATACATTAAAAATTGAGACATTTATTCATAAATCCCTCTTCACTTATTTATGTTTCACTTAGAATACTTTGTTTTTTGATGTTCCAAAGAGTAATTCTACTTACACCATCATTCTATCTCTTTACACTTATAATTTTTTTTTTCTTTTTTTATTGCAATTTTATCCTTATTTAAAATTATCGAACAATCCCCCAAACCCAACCCTAATTCTAACCCACCCACCTTTTCACCACCGGTAACCACCACTTCACTACTATCAATAACCTCAATTAACTTTCATCTCTGGCGACTTCACTACCTCCGGCTAGCCCATTCTCCCCTACCGACGACTCTCATTCCAACAACGACATTTCCTTCTCATCCACTAACGACTCAACCCACCATCCCAACGACGACATTTCCTCCTCATCCACCGACAACTCAACCCACCATTGTGACCCAATCATGCCTTCATCGTGAACTAGTTTCTTTCCTCACCTCACCATCGAAACTCAACTCCGCCCTTCGCCACCTCATCATGAAAAGTACCACTGCCTTATTGTGAACTACTTTGCCGCCGCTTACTTTCACCATCACGACGCAGCCCCTCCGTCATCTTCTTTTTCTTCTTCTTTAATTTACTAGATCTTTCTCTCACTTCTTGTTCTCCTTTTTATTCTTTTCTTCTTCTTGTTCTTCTTATTTTTCTTCTAGATCTATAGAGTTCTAGACCATACCCCTCTCTCTCTCATTCGTGATAGAATAAAGCAACGCTGGTTTACGATTGCTATAGGTTTGAGAAGCACGACGGGAGAAGGTATGAGGGGCATGGTTGGGTCAACGGGGAAGAAAAGGGTAGTGAAGGGTGACTGGGGGGTTCACCATTAGAGGAAGGGGGTTGGGGAGAGAAATTACCGGTGGGTTATGCCGGAGTGGTGCTGAAAATGATGATTAGGATGGGGGTAGGGTTTGGGTATGAAAAGATAAAAGGGTAAATTTGAGAAAGGTAGGGAAATAGATGATATCGATTTTAAACTATACTATAATAGTAAGGATAAACATAGGAATGGGGTAAGAATAATAATTGCTAAGGGAATTGTAGAAAATGTAGTAGCGGTCATTAGGAAGGGTGATAGGATTATGTTGGTTAAACTAGTTATTGGAGAGATAATAGTGAATGTTATTAGTGCATATGCTCCAAAAGTAGGATTAGATTATTAGACTAAGAGAGATTTTTTGGACCAAATGGATGAGTTATTACAAGAGATACCCGTAAGAGAAAACCTAGTTATACGGGATGATTTCAATGGCCATGCAGGAATAGAAAAACTAGGTTATGAGAGGATGCATGATGGGTATGGTTTTGGTGATAAAAATGAGGCTAGTGAGAGTATATTAGATTTTGCATTGGCTTCTAACTTAGTGGTGGCCAATATTATGTATAAGAAGAGATATGAGCATTTGATAGCCTTTAAGAGTGGGTCAACTAGGAGCCAAATAGACTACTTTCTAGCAAGAAAAATAGATCGTCCAAAATGCAATAACTATAAGGTGATTCCTGGAGAGAACTTGACGTCTCAACATAGGATTTTGGTAATAGATTTATGTTTTAAAAGGAAATACCAAGCTAAGAAAGATAATGGGCGTCGTATGACGAGACGATGGGACCTAAAAGGGGATAAATTAGAAATATTTACGAATAGAATGGTTAAAGAAGATACTTGAGACTTGAAGAATGATGCTAACACTATGTGAAACTTGATAAACAATTGTATAGCAAAATCTCAAGGGAAATTCTTAGAGAGTTGAAAGGAAAGGGACCCAACTCTGAAGAAATTGAGTGGTGAAAAGAGAAGGTTTAAGCGGTAGTAAAGATGAAAAGAGTGTGCTTTAAAAAATGACAAAATGATAGAACTAAAAAAAACCTTAAGAGCTACAGATTAGCTAATAAGGAGTTCAAAACAGTAGTGAGAGAGACTAAGTTGAAAGCCTATGATGACCTATACACTACACTACACTAGATAATAAGGAGGAAGAGAATAGGATATACAAATTTGCTAAGATAAGATAAAGAAAAATAAGTTTTTTTAATTAGATTAAGTGCATCAAGAGTAAGGACTCTAAGGTATTGGTGAAGGATAAAAAGACTAAGGAGAAGTGGAAGAACTATCTTGAGAAATTAAATAAGAAACATGACGGTAGGTCAAAAGGGGGAGGAAGTAGACAATAATAAGGAAAATCGGAACTACAGGTTTTATCGTTGGATTAGAAACTTTGAAATGGATATTGCACTTAAGAAGATAAAATCGAATAAGTGTAACAACCCGAACCCATGATTAACGTTAATCCATTCTTAATTATGCCTAATAAATAATTAAAGTAAATTTTTGCATCATATGTTGCCTTATATGTGTTTATATCTGTTTAACATAGAAAGATCTGTTCATGTTTCCATTTCAGTTGCGAATTGAAGGCCTTATCGGCATTCAATTCACAAATTGACTTAATTTATGTGTCGATTAGAATTTTTAGAATTTTATGGTAGGTTTAATTGAAATTCAATTTGGAACAATTAAATTAGAGTAATTAATGCTCAATTAAGACTAATTGATGAATTCCTTAATCCAAGCCTAACTAAAGAACTAGTGGACTCTTATATGCATCCTTACACTCTCATTTCATTCTTTTTGAGCTACAAACGTGGGGAAAGAGAGGGAGACCAAGTGACAGGGATTTCAACAAGGGAGAAGCAGTGAATTGCTAGGAATTGTTGGAAACTTAAGGAGAGTTTAGAAATTTAAACCTCTACACTTGTGAATCCAAAGTATAAGGTAAGAATTCAAGCCTTTAGTCTTGCTCTTGAGTTGGTAAGTTCATGAATACAAGATAATTAAGTTGAAATTGAACTAGAATGATGGAGTATAAATCATATCATGTATGCATGCATATTTCATGACATTTTGAAGTTTTCTTCAAAGATTTTCTCTTATGCATGTTGTAATTCTAGCATGGTTTGAAGAATTCATACCATTCCTCATCGTTGGACCTCATTTGATCATGTTTTGGAAGCCATGAACCCAAGTGAATACATGCATGTCATGTTTATATCATGTTCTTACATTTCAAGTTGAATTTTTGCACAATTGACTTATTCTTAGGCCTTGATTTTGTGAAAACATCTTTAATTCTTAATGTTTTCAAAGTCTAAACTTGTTTTCTCAAGTTTTGGGGGCCAAAAGTTGTGTTTTGATGAGTTAGATTCGAATTTTGAGCTAAGGAGTGCAATCTGGATATTCCAGATTTTGCACTTTCGCTCAAACGAAGGAATCTACGCTTGAGCGGCCACTCTGAGTGCGTGTACTTCGCTCAAGTGACTAGAAGCCCGCTCGAGCGTAAAATGCAAGCTCCCAGAAGTTCTTATGTTTTGCAGTCCGCTCGAGCGACAAAAGTTGCGCTCGAGCGAGGACATGTCTCTCACGCTCAAGCGAGCATCAAGCGAAAAAAACAAGCAACCAGCACTTTTACAAAAGTTTGCAAACCACTCGAGCGACGAATCTTGCGGTCGAGCGACCACTCACATTTTGCATGTCCACTCGAGCGTAGGAAGTTACATTCGAGCGAGGACCCTGTTTTCAGCAATTTTTGTTAAGTATTTTCAAGTGCATTTTTGCATCCTCTTTCCATCCTAGGCATTCCTAGGCCAAGTTTAAGACACTATAATAAAGATAAAGAAGTAGTAACACACCAAGATAAGAAAGAACAAAGTAAATGTTTTCGGGTGTGTGATTCAATATGAATTCGTTTTGTACCTGTGTAGGTCACGCACCATAAGATATCTGAGTTGCCTACTCTATTCGTTTATTTGGAGCCACCTGTTATTTGTGAGTAATAACTCTGTAAAGTTATGTTAAACTTAATTATTTTCTGATGATACGACACGATTAGTTTCTAAAATGCTATGTTTTGTGTGAATGAATGATTGTCCAAGTTTCTAAAATGTATTTGTGATATCCTTAGCATCATATGATATGCGTCCCTTTATGGGTCATCAGGTCCCTTTTATGGGTCATCGGAATGCCTTTACGGTTGTCCCTTTATGGGTCATCAGAAACGTCTCCGTGCACATGAGTCATTGGAATGCCTTATGGTTGTCCCTTTATGGGTCATCAGAATGCCTTCACGGCTGTCCCTTATGGGTCATCGGATTTGTTAATGCTAATGAATGTGCCACGTACTATGATGTGAAATGTATAAACTCTGAAAATGAATATGATCAAGTATATGAATCTATTTCTGATTTGACATCCGTATATGCAAAAAACTCTAATTTCTAACTCTTTGATGGACATCATTCATTAAAATCTTTACCTTGTTATTATTCATTGGGCTCCAGCTCACTATTTATATTATTTATGTATGTAGGTGATCAGGTGCGAGACCAAGCCCAGAGTTGATAGCCTAAGATTCCGTTTTGTCAACCACTCTTTATGCCTCCCAAGGAGGTTCCAGATCATGTCAAATCCCATGGCTATGTTTTTGTGTTTAAAACTTTGGTTCTTTTGTTTTAATTATAGGTAAATTTTCTACTTATATGTATAGTACTTGGAGTGACGTGTATTAACTGTATCTTTTGACGTCACACACATCTTTATTGAAGTTTAAGAATATCTGTCTCATATATGTCTTCACAGCTTAATGAACTACGTACATTTCTATTTATTGCTTCTACAGCCCCTTATTATATGTTTTTCTGTTAAGAGGCCTTCGGTAATCCAAGGGTTACTGGTCAGTTACGACGCTAAACCTATAGGGACGGGTTTAGGTCGTGACAATAAGGCTTTAAGACCCGATTATATCCCTATTAAAGCTTGAAAATGTTTGGGTAAGAAAGGGATTGCTTGGTTAACTAAGTTATTTAGCAAGATTTTATTGACTAGGAAAATGCTAGAGAAGTGGAGGAAAAGTATTTTAGTGTCAATCTATAAGAATAAATGAGATGTCCAGAACTACAACAACTATAGAGGAATCAAGCTAATATGTCATATAATGAAAGTGTGGAAGAGAGTAATGGAACATCGATTGCGAGATATAATAGAGGTGTCAGAGAATCAATTTGGGTTTATGCCTAGTAGGTCAACAATGGAAGCGATCTATCTTTTAAGGAGAGTAATAGAAAAGTATTAAAAAAAAAAGAAAGATATTCCTATGGTTTTTATCGATATTGAGAAAACATATAATAGAGTGTATCGACATATAATTTGGTGGGTGTTAGAGAAGAAATGGGTAACAAAAAGTTACATTAATGTGATTAATGATATGTATCAAGGTGTGGTGACCACTATTAGATCGCTTGTTAGATAGACAATTAAATTTTCAATTACTATGGGGTTATACCAATGATCATACCAAGGATAAATCTTAAGTCCTTATTTTTTTTGCTTTAGTTATGGATTAATTGACGAGAAATATTCAGGATGATGTGCCATGGTGTATGCTTTTTGCAAATGATATTGTGTTAATGGATGAGATTAGAAAACAAGTTAACACTAAGTTGGAGACTTTGAGAGAAGCACTTGAATCTAAAGGATTTAGGATAAGCAGAACTAAGATAGAGTACATGAAATGTACAGTAACAATGGAAGTACAGGAGAAATGAAGATTGAAAGCTAAGAACTATCTAAGAATGAACATTTTCGTCATTTAGGATTGATTATCACAACGGCTGGCGAGATTAGAGTGGATGTCGTCTGTAGAATCAATACAGGCTAACTTAACTGACAAAATGCATTTGAGATACTATGCGATGAACGAATACCCACTAGACTCAAAGGGAAGTTCTATAGAACGACTATTAGACTAGTGATGTTGTATAGGTCAGAATGTTGGGCAACTAAAAAACAACATGTAGATAAGATGAGTATTGTTGAGATTATGATGCTAAGGTGGTTGTGTGGTAAAACTAAAAAAAATAGAGTTAGGAATGAGTATATTTGAGAATGGGTAGAAGTAGTATCGATAAAAGATAAGTTGAGAGAGAATAAATTGGGATGGTTTTGTCATAATACAACGAAAACCAATAGAGGTTGTACTGAAGAGATGCGATACAGTGATAGTAGATAGAAGTTTTAGGGGAAGAGGCAAACATTGATTGACGTGGGCTACTGTAGTAAATAGATATATGAACCTCCTTGATTTGACTAACGAAATGACCTTAGATAGAGTTGAATAGAGAATAATGATTCATGTAATTGACCCCATTTTGTGGGACGTAAGGCTTAATTTGGTTTGGTTTGGTTTTAATAGGTGTAATGCGAAGAAAATAAATTTTCAAATTTTTAAGAATGGTGTAAAAAGAAAATGAGTGTAAGGAGTTTATTTGGTGGTGTAAGTAGAATTTTTATATTCCAATAAGTTCTATAGATGACATAATTATTAAAATACTCCTAATAATAATAAGGTGAAGCGTGCATTAATATTTACATTGATAGTGTAAATGTTCCATGATGTGAACATTTACATTATCAAATTTATTTAATGTGAATGTTCACATTACCAAGTTGCTAAGGGTTCAAATTTGTAAAGGTAAAATTATTTATAAAATACCTTAAATATGTGAATTAAAATTTTATAAATCAAATGTCTAAAATAATAGGACTTATTAAAATATAAGAATATCTTATAAATTAATTAGAATACAAGTACTTGTAAGAGAATCTTCTAAAAAA